CCCCCTCTCCCCCCGCCCCGACTGGGTTCAGGCCGCTGGCGCGATACACGTGATCGGCGGCCTCGGCACCAACGGGCTCCATGGGATCGTTGTCGTTGTCGTCGTCGTCGTCGCTGTCGTCGTTGTTGCCTTTGTCGCCGTCCTCCTCCCCCTCCTCCTTCTCCTCCTCCTCCTCCTCTTCCTCATTCTTTCTGAATTAAGAGGCAAAGGCTGGAGGGCTGCGTGAGGGGAAAGGAGGACGTATATGTTCTCTCCACCTCCCCCCTCTCGCCGCCTCCATCCATCTCCATCCTCCACCTCCGCTCGCGGGAGGGCGCGCGCGACGGGGAGAAGGATGGGGGAGGGGGGAGGAGATGGCGGAGAAGGGGGATACAGTTGATGCTGCTGATGACGTTGTTGATGAAGATGTTGATGGTGATGATGGTGATGGTGCTGGTGTTGATGATGATGCTGATGGTGATCATGATGATGGCAATGATCTTGCTGATGATGACGACGACGATGAGGATGACGATGACGATACGGGTACTGATGATGGCGATGATGACGTCGGCGATGATGGCGACGGCGATGGTAGCGATGACCATGATGATGATTATGATGATGATGCTAATGACGGTGGTGAGGTTGAATATGATGATGGCGATGGTGATGGTGATGATGGGGATGGTGATAATCATGATATCGATGACGTTGGTGATGGCGATCCTGTTGATGAGGATGATGACGACGCTCAAGATGATGTTGATGGTAATGGTAATCACTGTAGTGATGCTGATGATGCTGATGATGGCGACGGTGGTAATGATGGTAATGATGCTGGCGGTAATGATGGTGGTTCTGTTTGTGAGTGTGATGCTGTTGATGATGATCATGGCGATTACGATGATGGTGATGATGACGATGATGATGATGATGATGAACATGATGTGGATTATGATGATGATGCTGATGACGACAATCATGATGGTGATGAGAGGGCGATTCTTCATGATGTTGATGATGGCGATAATGATGATGACGACGATGATTACGACGACGGCGATGCTGATAATGCTGATGATGCTGCTGATGACGATTTTTGTGATGATGATGGTGACGCTGACGAAGACCATGCAGATGCTGATGATGCTGATGATGATGATGATGATGGTGATGCTGATGATGATGATGATGATGATTGTGATGATGATGCTGATGCTGCTGATGATGATGATGATGATGATGATGATGATTATGTTGACGATGTTGATGACGATCCTGATGATGATGGTGATGCTGCTGATTCTGATGATGCTGATGATGCTGATGATGTCCATAATGATGGCGATGATGACGACGATGATATGATGATGACGATGCTGACGATGATGATGATGATGATGATGATGATGATGATGATGATGATGATGATGATGATGATGATGATGATGCTGATACTGATGATTATGGTGACGATGCCCATGCTGATGACGATGATGATGACGATGATGATGCTGCTGCTTACGGCGATGATGGCAATGATGGTATTGATGATGGCAATCACGTCCAGGATGGCGTTGTTGGTGATGATCATGGCGATGATGACGGTGATGGTATTGGTTGTGATGACGGTGGTGATTGTGATGATTGTGATGGTGATGTTGGTGGTGTGTATGATGACGATGATGAATATCAATACGTTCGTTTGCGCTGAGGCCGGTGAGGCCGACGCTGAAGGTTGTGTTGGTGATGACGATGCCGATGACGATGATGACGATGATTATGATGATGAAGATGCTGCTGATTACGAAGATGATGATGATGATGATGATGATGATGATGATGATGATGATGATGATGATGATGAAGAAGATGAATTTGATGGTGATGATGATGCTGATGATGCTGATGATGCTGAATATGCTGCTGATGATGGTGATTTTGATGATGATGATGATGATGATGAAGATGCTGATGACGATGCAGATGCAGAATATGCTGCTGCTGTGATGATGATGGTACTGCTGCTGCTGCTGCTGATGATGATGATGATGTTGATGTTGTTGATGATGATGATGATGATGATGATGATGATGATGATGATGATGATGATGATGATGATGATGATGATGATGATGATGGTGGTGGTGGTGGTGGTGGTGGGGATGATGATGATGATGCTGCTAATGATGATGATGATGATGATGATGATGATGATGATGATGATGATGATGATGATGATGATGATGATGATGATGATGATGATGATGATGATGATGATGATGATGATGCTGATTCTGATGGCGATGGTACCCGTGTCAGCGATAGAGCCAAAGCGCAGACCACGCAGACAGCCTCTGGCCGCCACGCTCGATCGCCACCGTCTCGGCGTCACCCCGACATACTCATACTATGTGTGCGTCGCCTCCCCCCAGGGGTGACGCGCGCACCGAGAAATCTCATAGTACGTGCGTCGTGGCGTGCGCTTTCTGGCCACACTGCTCGGGAAAGGATCTATTACAAGATGGGTATACAACACGTTCGGGTCGGACGCGCGCCTCCAATGCGGACATATCGTATTAGTATGTCTCTGTGCGTCTCACCGTCCGCTGTGCGTGGCACGCCCCGAGCTCGAACCGAGCGCCTCAGAGACCTCCGCCCCCTTGCCAGGGGGCGGCCGCACCGCGGCGGCGGGGAAGGCGGCCGCGGTCTGCCAGAGACAGCGCGCACGGGGATAGGTCTAAGTCGGGCATGTCCCCCTACAGGAGGAGGAGGAGGAGGAGGAGGAGGAGGAGGAGGAGGAGGAGGAGGAGGAGGAGGAGGAGGAGGAGGATGAGGAGGTGGGGGAGGAGGGGAGGAGGGGGAGGGGGGGGAGGAGGGGGAGGAGGGGGAGGAGGGGAGGAGGAGGAGGGGGAAAAAGGGGGGGAGGAGGAGGAGGAGGAGGGAGGAGGAGGGAGGAGGAGGAGGAGGAGAGGAGGGGGAGGAGGAGGGGGAGGAGGAGGGGGAGGAGGGGGGAGGAGGAGGAGGAGGAGGAGGAGGAGGAGGAGAAAAGCAGGACAAGTTTTCAAACATCAGCAACACATACCCTGGGTTTCTTAAGAAGTGTGGGGTGGTACCCCCACCGACGGGGGTCAACCTCGCCTGGTCGTCGCGCCGCGACGTGGGTCGGAACGCCTTTGGCGCGCGGTGGCTGCCCGCGACGGGGGTCGATGTTGGGCTGTCAGCGGGGGTGGCGCCCCCCGACGCTCATTAAGAAACTCGGAGTAGTCAAACCATAGTCTGGGGACGCATGTTTGAATGTTTTTTGGCTTCTTCTCCCTTCGTCCAAAAGGTCCGCCTGTGGGATGACATGCCCGACCTGAGGACAGGAAGCCCGTCATTACGGCAGCACCGATGGCAAGCGATGGCCGTCAGCTTTCTGCACCAGGCGAGAAAAACAGGAGCGCGACCAAGGCGCGCGCCGCCGACGCCAGGAGGTCTGCTGCCGCCGCGTGCGCCGTGCCCACGGCCTCGTATGCGTGCGAGACTGCGGGGCGCGGTCATCTCATATTCCTTAGATTCGACGAGTCTCAGCAACTTCAATTTGCTATGCTCTGAGGCAAAGAACGGCCAGATCGTTGCAGCTGTGAGAACCATAGAATTTCGATCTTGGGGTATCGCCCGTCACAGGACCAATGTATTTCGATCGCGGGCGGAACTCTGGGGAGTGTCCAACCCCGTGAAGCCTATCTCGGATAAGGACAGAAGAGCCTTCGATAATGGGAACCTCCAGGCCCGCAGGATCCTAAAGTTTGTCAACAAGGTTCATGTCTTGGGTATCCCCTGGGCCGTGGAGAACCCTATCATGAGTATCTTGTGGCGCGCTCCAGAGTTCCTGAAGCTCGCGAGAGACCCGAAGGCGCATGCGAAGTTTATCGACCAGTGTGCCTTTGGATCGCCGTGGCGGAAGCGTACCCAACTAATGTTTGGTAACTGTGGCAGTATCGGTGTTTCCCTGTGTGAACGGCACATATGTGGGGGTCGGGGCATCTGCCAGTATTCTGGAAAACGACACGTCGAACTGGAAGGAATCAGGATTACAGAACATGCCCAAACTTACCTACCCAAGCTGTCGCAGCTCTTGGCAAAAATCTGGTGTAGCCCCGCAGTATATCGCGGCACTGTCTTCGATTCCATCAACTCCTGAGCTCACTTCCATTTGGGACGTCTTAGGATGCGGCCTCGACCTATTTTGTGAGTATATACTCTATGGCCTCGTCTGTTTCGAGAGTGGGCCAGTGCGTGAAGACAGTGGTAGAGTTGATGAGACAAAGTGCTGACAAAAAGAGAGAGAGTTCAGGCCCCTCATGTTAGTGCGAAGTATGCTTGCAGACGGGCACGGTATTGAGGGGGCCAACGAGGTCAGTTTTGTATTCTCCGTATTTCCACTGTATTATTGCTCAAGTCTCCCGCCCTCCTCTCCCTTTTCGCCTGTCCTGTTGACCTCGTGGCTCCACGTTTCAAAGGGGGATGCGGCCTCTACCTATTTTGTGAGTATCTACTCTATGGCCTCGTCTGTTTCGAGAGTGGGCCAGCACATAAAGACGGTGGCAGAGTTGATAAGACAAAGTGCTGACAACAAAAGAGAGTGCATGCCCCTCGTTATTACGAATATCACGAAGAGGAATCTTACACATCAGAATAAGACGAATGAGGATAATGATAATACTATGACTAATAGTAATGAGGAATAGTAATAATTATCGGAGGAGGAGGAGGAGGAAGAGGAGGAGGAGGAGGAGGAGGAGGAGGAGGAGGAGGAGGAGGAGGAGGAACAGGATCCCCGCACTTTTGAAAGCGGCCGGCCCCAGGCTCGCCGTGACGGTGGTCGACCGGCTGGACCCTATCTCAGGCGCGCGGAACCCAAGCCGCCGCCCCCCCTGCTGGGCGCGGCGGCCGCGGCGACGGCGATCGGCATCGGCGGCGGCGGCCGCGGCCGCGGCCTCGGCGGCGGCGGCGGGTGGCCTCGGCGGTTTTCGGCCTCCAGGAGTCGCCGCTGCGCCCTGCCAGTTGGTCAGTCAAGCCTGGCGCTCGTATGGCGCACTGGCAGATCAAAAGTTCAGGAAGTGCAGTTCACGGCGCCACGCTGCGGAGGGAGGGGAATGCAGGCGGGAATAGGAGGACAAGGAGGGGGGGCAGGGCAGCACAGAAGCCACACTTGAATGTCTGACAGGAGGGCACGAACGCAAAGGGCCCATTTGCTGTTTACTCCTCCCCCTGCGTCGTCGGTGCGCCCGTCTTCTGGGCAGGTCGGTGCCGAGGTGGCAAGTTAAAATTCTAAGGGGGTCGTCTCCAGACAGCGCTGCGATTTGCCTGTAAAGCGCCGTTTGGCGCCCGCGAAGTGTGGGTTTCATCAGGCCTTCTCCCTCCCGCTCCAGAAAACCTTCATCAGGCACTCGTGAAACATACGCACTAGAAATTCTTAGAACTCGTCTTCAACATTGCGCGTGAAAGCTGTCTAAACGATGTCTGTCTGCCTGCAAAACAATAGCTTTGTACAGTTCTGGGCACTTCAGGCTTTGCCATGCATTTGATGTTCAATAAGCCTCCAATATACACTGCTTGCTCCACTGCTTTGAGTGGGGCACCTGTAGGGGATGGAATTACGCCGTCATTGTGCACGCTCCATGCATCGAGTTTTTGTCCCAAGTGAGTTTCAGACCGTATCTGATTTCTTCTTCGATTACGGTGTCGAGTAATGTCTGCAGTTTCCCAGAGTCGCTGCTAATAGGAAGTGCATATCGTCCGCGTAAAGGAGGTTGCGGCATACCGGGTACTCTGGCTCCCAGATGTCATTGTGGAGGCCGTCGATGCGCTTGTCGATATCGAAAAACATCACGTTCTGCACAATCATGAACACGTTTGGCGAAAGCAAGCAGCATTGAGCAATTCCTGCTGCTTGTTTCCGTTGGCTTGAATTCCCAGCTGGGTCTCTTAGTATGACGTTTCCTGGGAAAGGGTCGGGGTCCGGATCGTCAAAAAAGACTCGGGATGAAGAAAAGCGGGCGCTGGGGAACGGGTTCGGACTTACAGGGACCTTGTTTTGTCATTTTCGGACTTCGCAGGCCTTCGCCAGGCCCCAGGGTCGTCAACAAAAACGGCTCGGGATTAATTACTCGATGCGGAGATCCCCATACGCGCATCTCAGTTGTTGGCGATTCCGCCTGTGAGAGTCTGGGTGAGAGAAGTGTTAGCCTGTGGCAACTGAGAAATCTCCTGTGGCTTTCCTTTTGAATGCCCGAGTGCTATGCCTGCTACATCTGGAATCTCTTGGGGCTCTAATAGGAGTGAGGTCGGGGGTGCCTATACCAGCGTTTCGTTAGACTCGCTCGAGACATCCTCACGATCTGCTCTGAAAGCAGAGGAGCCCCAGCCACGAATCGAGCAAACCGCTTGAGACATCTCCACAATCTGGCCGCGAACGGGAGAGTGCAACACCCCCTGGCAGCTCCCCTTGGGGTGCTGGAAGAAGCGTGCTCTGAAAGCAGGGAGCAGGGAGGAGGGAGGAGGAGATTGGAGGAGGGTGGAGAAAGGGAGGTGGCCGACTCCCTGGCCCGCGGGAGGCCAGTGGCAGGAGCCCCTGCAGCTCCCCGCGCCGCGCGCGGGCTGCGCGGTGGGCGCCGCGGGAGACCTGCTGTACGTGGCCGCCGGCTTTGGCGACGACAGGCTTCGGGTGAAGAAACGCCCGGAGGCTCCCAAACGGCGCGGTGACTACGTCGCGGGGCGAGTCAGCGGGGATTCGGGGTCAGCGCACTGTGCTGGGGCTCGGGTTGTTCTCCGAGGACGTCCTGGGGCGACGGGGGCCTCCGAGGTGGTGAGACCGTGCGGTGACGGACCGCGCGGCGAGGTCTCTTGGAATCTCGACGTCACCTCGTGGTCTGTCGCCACACGGTTTTGGGGCCCAGGCCTCGAATTTGGGTCATGATCCACTGCTGGCCGTCGCCGATCCGCGAGGATGATCCACGAGTTGAGGCTGGCCAAGATGGACGGTCACCAGGATCGGCACCCACGTTTCAGCGTTAAGTCCTGGTCATGGTCACCGTTTTCTCCCGAAAGGCTGGACAGCGACAAGGCGGAGTATGCGATCGCCTGCGGCCGCCCCCGATAAGCCTTGGGGTTATTCTGGTTCTCCTCCTCCTCCTCCTCCTCCTCCTCGTCGTCGTCGTCGTCGTCGTCGTCGTCGTCTTCCAAGGGGGCCCTGTTTGGGGGGACCTCCCGGTTCTGGGCTTGTTCTGCTGTTGGGCTCGTCGCCACAGCCGGCTCTGCCTCGGCACCCTGGCTCGCGGAGGTCCGCGGGGGCGGGTCGCAGAGCGCGGCGTGGCGCGCCTGCCGGGTCGAGCGGCGAGGGGGGCCTCTGCGGGGTCGAGGGGGGAAGAGCCCCGAGCGGCACAGCTTCCGTTTTTGCGAATCGGCCCCAGGCGTTTACTGGGCGACGCAAAAAAGCGGGGTGGTCTTCACCGACGTTGGCACGTAAACAGCTCACGTGAGGTCGCGCGCAAGCGCCCTCGTCTCCAATGCAGCGTTCCGCTCTGGCGGTCTGCGCAAGCCACCGCGTCAGGCCGCTATGCCATCTCGCGCAAGATCAGGTTCTTTTCGTCGCTCTACTAAAAACGGCCCCGCCCTGCTCGATTCCTTTCTCAAGTTTCGTCTACTCAGTGCCTCCCTCGCTTGCGGGAGTGCCTATCGTAACGGTGGTTCTGCAGCTCCCCTTCAGAAGGCAGGCTGCTTCTCAGAAGGGCTCGGCGGGTTCTGTGGAGGCTTCCGAGGAGGCTTCTGAGAAGGCGGGAGGGCTTCCAAGAAGCACCCCACCTCCTCAGAAGGCCCCCCGCCTCCGCATGTTGCCAAAGAGCGAGTCGGGATGAGAAGGCCCGTCACATGGGAAGGGGTCGGGGAAGGAGGAGGAGGAGGAGGAGGAGGAGGAGGAGGAGGAGGAGGAGGAGGAGGAGGAGGAGGAGGAGGGCGGTCGCGGGGCCCGGGGCCTGGATGCCAAGGCGCATCGAGCCGTCGGAGGCCTGTCTTAATGGGCAGACCGCCGCGGTGCCCGCGCTTCGGCCTCCTGGCCTCTGGGGGGGATGAGGGCCCTCGCGGCTGCGGCCGGGCTCTTGGCCCGCAGGACGTTGCAGTCGACCCGCATGGTGAGGATGGGTACTCCAGATCTCGTAATAACGAGAAGGAGGAGGAGGAGGAGGAGGAGGAGGAGAAGGAGGAGGAGGAGGAGGAGGAGGAGGAGGAGGAGGAGGAGGAGGAGGAGGAGATGGAGAAGGAAGGGGAGGAGGAGGAGGACAAGGTGGAGGAGGGGGGGAATAGGAGGAGGAGGAGGGTGAGAAGGAGGATGAGGAGGAGGACGAGGAGGAGGAGGCGGAGGAGGAGGAGGGGGGGGAGGAGGAGGAGGAGGAGGAGGAGGAGGAGGAGGAGGAGGAGGAGGAGGAGGAGGAGGAGGAGGAGGAGGGGTACTCCAGGAGGGGGTCACAACCCTCCCAGACGATAAGTTTTAGACCCGCCCCAGCCCATCCATGAAAGGGCGGCCCTTTGCCCAGACCCCCCCCGAACCCTCCAAGACAGCTCAAATCAGACCCTCCCCAAATGTGCCCCCCCCACTTCATTATTATGGAATCCAGGGTAGCCTTCCCAAGGGTACCCTTGCATCCTTGCCTCCTCGGCCCATCCTCGGCCACTTTCGCTGGCCGCGCCCCGCTCGAGAAGCCTCGAAGTGGGCATCCAAGGCCCTTACATCCTTATTGCGCGTCCTCATGATACGGGCCGGCTCTACCAGGATGGCGTCCCGGAGGAGTCCGAGGGGCGGTCTCGGGGCGAAAGTGTGGGACCCAGGGCCTCCCAGATGGGGTCCGAGCAGGTGGGGTCGGAGGCTCGCCGATGCACCGCCGATGCGGCTCGATGTGGAGCCGGATGCCGACGGCGAGGATGCATCGCCGACGACGCCGATGCCGCGCGATCCTCCGAAGCCCTCTGCTCGGGCCTCACCTGGGATGCCTCCGTCGAGGCGTGGCGACGTGATCACGCCGGCCAGGCTCTGCTTGGTCTCGGCAGCCGGAGGTGCCAGCTCGCTGGGTCACCCATTCGGGCGGGAAGACGGTCGCGCATCGCGCATCGCGGGGCCCGACGCGTGACGCGCGATGTGCGAAGCTAGGTGATACTCAGGACTTCGGGCACCTGGGACCAACGCGCACGGCCCGCGGCGGAAAGCTGGCCCGGGGGAGGGCGTCGAGGGCACCGTGCCCGGGGACCAGATGTCTTGCTCTGCCATGCACGGACCCCCCGAAAATTCCGGCCCTTCCCCCAGGGCCGGTTGTGCATCCCGATTCGTTTTTTGACGGCCCCGGGGCCCGCCGAGGGCCCCTAGAGTAGGGGACCGCATGCGAACCCTACCCGTGCCCCCTGCGATTTCTGAGGGGGAGGGTGGGGTCCACTTCGCTTGGGAGCTCCCGAACGAAGTGAACCCTACCCTCCCCCTCGGAAATCGTGGGGGGTAGGGGTAGGGCTCGCACGTGGCCCCCTACTAGAGGCTGACAACAACGACAAGCCTGCGCGCTGAATTTCTCGATGCCTTGGAGGCCTGGGCAGGCCCGCGCCGTGAGCAACACCACGACGCCGGAGGCCTGCGTGCCAGTGCAGCATCGGCCGCCTGCAGGGTGGCTCTGCCGAGCCTTGCGTCGGGCCTGTCCCTCCACATGAGGAATCTTCAAACAAGTAGTTCAAACATAGTCTGGGGACGATTTTTTTGACTATTCTTGTTTTTTTTTGTTTGTGCTTTTGTTTTTTTTTCTTTCGTATTTTTCGCCCAATATCGCCTGTGGGTGGGGGACACGCCCGACCTCAGCCGATCCCGGCGAGCGGGCGCACTCAGACGCCCCCACTGTGCCGAGGGCGCAGCTGGCGGACCTGGACCTCGGCACCGGCACCTGGTTCCAGATGCCGGCGCGTCGGGGGTCAGGGGCAACGATGGGGGGGGATAGGCAGAGGGGGGCATGCATCGACTCCGAATCGCCCACTGATCGCCGATAGGGGCCCGATAGCCCCAAGTTGCCCAGGAAGGTGCGGATTCTCTATCGGGGGCCCATCGCCGACCCATCGGCAATGTATCGCCGATTCCAGGCCGATGCATCCCCCCTTGTGCCAGTCCCCCCCTGCCGCTGCCACCCAGGGGGGCGCCCTCCATTCGCCGACGCCGATGCTGGCCGGGCCGATCCTCAGAGGAGGAAGAGTCGGAAGCCCGAATAGTGAAGAACCCAGCACACATTGAACAAGTCAGGCGATCGCAAACATGGGTCCAGGGGGCGTGGATTAGCGATGATTAGCGACGGGTCCTGTTTCCATGGGAAATCTCGCGGATTTCCGCCGCCGAGCGCGGCGGCACCGGCCGCATTTCGGGGAGTGCACCTCCCCCGATCCATGGATTTTGCGACCGCGCGCCAAATCCATGGATCGCTAATCCATGCTTGCGCGCCCCCGAAAGAGGTAATCCGATGCCGCTGCCCTCGGACTCGTTTTTGCGCCTGTTTGGGGCTCCTCTGGGAGGCCCTCGTCGCCACGGCTGGCTTCGCCTGGATGGGCATCTTTTTGTGTTTCCCCAGAGTCTGGGCCCAGGATCGGTGCATGCGCCCTCCCGGCCAGGCTAAGGTGGGCGTGCAGCCGGTGCTAAGTCGGGCCTGTCCCTGTACAGGGGGAATGTTCAAGAATAGTTTAGAAAATAGTATGTGGACGTTTTTTTTTTTTTTTTTTTTTTTTTTTTTTTTTTTTTTTTTTTTTTTTTGTATTTTCGGGCATTTTTTGCATATTGTTTGACTATTTGTAAGTTTTCGTCCGAAATCCGCCTGTAGGGGGACATGCCGGACCTGAAGCTGGTGCGAGGGTCGAGAGGTACACGGTGCGCCCTCGTGATCGTCGTGCCTGGGCTCTTCTTCTCTTTGAGTGCTGTCCCTTCTGGGTATCCCCATGGGTCGAAGAAGAAGAAGAAGAAGAAGAAGAAGAATAAGAAAAATAATAAGCGCAATAAACATGGTCGCGAGGTACACGGTGCGCCCTCGTGTTCTCCGTGCCTGGGCTCTTCACTGCTCTGAATGCGGCCCGTTCTGGGTGCAGTCAGCCCGCATAGTAAGGATGGGCAGCCGTGCCAAGGGTACCCCGAATTTCTTAATGAGCGTCGGAGGGGCGTCACCCCCGCCAACAGCCCCACATCGACCCCCGTCGCGGGCAACCACCGCGCGCCGAAGGCGCTCCGACCCCCGTCGCGGCGCGACGACGAGGCGAGGTTGACCCCCGGTCGGGGGGGTTCCCCCCCCACGTTGAGTAAGAAGCCCAGAGTACCCTTGCATCCTTGCCCCTGCGGCCCATCCTCAGCGACCTTCGCTGGCCAGCCTCGTTCGAAAAACGTTGACATGGGCCTCCAAGGCCCTCGCGTCCTCACCGCGCACCCTTACAATACGGGTGGACTGTATCCCCACGGGGCCGTGGGCGTACTCTTGGCCCGCGCTTTTGTGGCCATGTTTTGACGGTGTCCACTGGTCACCTCCTCCTCCTCTTCCCCCCCCACCTCCTCCTCCTCCTCCTCCTCCTCCTCCTCCTCCCCCATTTCTTTTCCTTCTAATAAATAACTTCTCCCAGTCGCGCCCCAAGGCCAGTTTTCAGGGCGGGCCAGGCGTTTCGCCTGAGACTTCCTCACCATGATTGGTTCTGAAGCGTAAAAAGGTGGCAACAGCTTCGTAGATGGAGGGCGGTTGTTTTTCAAAATGTGGCTCTCGCCTTAGCGCCGCGCACGTTCGTATCAAAAACTTGCAAGAGTTTCACGGATTGAGGGCGGGTGGTTCTCAAAATGTGGCTCTCGCCTTGGCGCCGCGCACATTCGTTTGAAGCACTTGCAAGAGTTTCACGGATTCCCATGATCAACGCACCAGAAATGGTGGTTTGGAAGGATTCATTGGCTTACGCCACGCCGCCGACCCCTTGGGGCGCAGCACTCGTACCCCGCGTGGCCTGTCCGGACAGCCTGGGGGGCCCTCTAGACACGTTTCGGAGCCCTGTTAGGACCGTCCTGCCGTTCCCCTGGGCCGTTGCTATGGTTTCTGGGGCGTGGGGCGCCCCGAGGCCGTCGTGGAGTTTTTTGGAGAGTCTCTTGGGGTGCCAGAGGTCGATCTTGGAGGTTTACTGGGCCGTTGTGGGCCTCGTGGAAGGCCAAGAAGCGAATATGCTGAAAATGCACGTTTTCTTCGAGGACTGGGGCGGTTTTTGCTGTGGAGGCCTGCTTGGAGCGCCTCGTGGTCGCGTTTGCAAACGCCTTGGACGCCCATGGGGCTGTCTGGAGGCAATGTTGGGCGGTTTGGACCGAATCGCCCCCCGCGTGGGCCGTCCGGACAGCCTTTGGGAGCCCTCTTAGTCCGTTTTGGAGCCCTCCTGGGACCGTCCTGCGGCTTTCCTGGGCCGTTGCTTTGTTTTCTGGAGCCTTCGTGGATCGCCCGGAAGCCGTCTTGGAGCTTTCTTGGGAGCCTCTTCGGGTGACAGGGGTCGATCTTGGAGGTTTCTTGGGCCGTTGTGGGTCTCGTGAAAGCCCAAGAAGCGAAAGTGCTGAAAATGTATTTTTACATGGGAAATCCAACGGTTTTTGCTTGTGGAGGCCTGCTTGGAGCGCCTCGTGGTCGCGTTTTCAAACGTCTTGGACACCCATGGGGCCGTCTGGCGGCGATCTTGGGCGGTTTGGACCGAGTCATCCGCCGCGTGGGCCGTCCGGACAGTCTTTGGGGGCCCTCTTGCCTCGTTTTGGAGCCCTATTGGGACCGTCCTGCGGCTTTCCTAAGCCGTTGCTATGGTTTCTGGGGCCTTCGTGGATCGCCCGGACGCCGTCTTGGAGCCTTTTTGAGAGCCTTTTGAGCTGGCGAGGGTCGATCTTGGAGGCTTCTTGGGCCGTTTTGCGCCGCGTGGAAGCCGAATGGACGACTGTGGTGAAAATGTACGTTTGCCCTCGGGAATGGGACGATTTTTGCTTCTGGAGGGCCTTTTTGGTTTGCTTCGTAATATTGTTTCAAACGTCTTGGGGTCTTACGCAGCCGCGTGGAGGCAATCTTCGGCGTTTTGGGGCGATCTCTCGTCGATTCGTAGCTCTCTTGGACCGTTCTGGGAACCTTTGGAACCTTTTTAGCTTGTTTTGGGGCCTCCTGGGGCTCCAAGTGTGCGGATGACGGATTTGCCCCCTCCCCCCCCCCCTCCAAACCGGCTGGACCAGGCCCCCGGGGGAAGGGTTTGGGGAGGGGGAAGCATCTCACTCTCCGTGACCCCAAGGGGTCGGCGGATTCAGGGGGTGCAACAGTTAGGTTGATTCGTGGTGTTGAAGTCCCACAAACGGCGTTCAGGCACGATTCCAGATCGTCAGGACGCAGCAGTCAGGTTGATCCGTGGCGTGGAAATCCCGAGAACAATGCTTTGGCATGCTTCAAGGTCTTCAAACGGTTGTCTTCCAACGAGGCAGTTCCTTCAATGGAACTGAACCGTTGTATGGGGCCCATGAAGAGTGAGCTTGGAGGGAGGGTTACCTCCAGCTTCGTTGATGACTCTTGGGTTTACACTGGTCCTCCTCCTCCTCCTCCTCCTCCTCCTCCTTTTCCTCCTCCTCCTCCTCCTCCTCCTCCTCTCCCAGGGCGGGCCTGGCTGGGGCCGGCGTCGGCGCATGGGCCGGCGCCCTCCCAGGCGCTGCCCTTCTCTCGGAGGCTCTGCTCCGGCGCCGTGGTGTGGCGCTGAGGCCCTGGCCGGCCTCGACGGCCGCCGGGCGCCGCGGGGCGTGCTCTCCGACGCGGCGGCGCGCAGGTGCCGCCCCTCTCTGCAAGGTGAGGTCGGGCCTGTCCCCCTACGGGGGGACGTTGGACGAAGAATGAAGACTAGCCCAAACATAGGGAAAGCATAAGCAGAAATATTCAAAGCATCGTCCCCGGACTGACTATTTTGAGTTTCCCCCCTGTATGGGGGGCAGGCCCAACTAAACTCCAAGGCCATGCTCGAGGAGAAGAAGCCACGTCTCCAACGTCTTGAACACATCAAGACGGGGTTTGGCCTCGGGGGGCCCTCGTCGGGCCCGGGGCCGAAGAAAAAATAGCCACATGAACATAAACTTTTGGCGCTCCGCGCGGACTTCTTGGATCCGCGTCTGGGCTCCCCCGGCGGCGCCTCTGGCGCCCCTCCTGGCGCGCTCCGGGCGCCAGGGGGGGGGGGTCCAGCGCGGATCCAAGAAATCCGCGCGGAGCGCCAACAGTCTTTTTTTCTTCCTCCCCCTTCCAACGTATCGAACACACCAAGACGGGTCTTTTCGGCCTCCGGGGGCCCTCGTCGGGCCTGGGGGCCGTTGCAAAGTGGTCCAGGTCCAGGACGACCAGTCCTGAGCAAGTCCAGAGCTCGGGGGGCCCCGCATTGAAAGAACCAGGGCGTCGGCGGTCTGGGAAGATAACGACTGGACGACGCAAGCCGCGCAGCAAACCAGTTCGATCCACGCTTCCGCGCATGCTGGCGCGCGCAGCGCGTGCACCAGACGGGTCGCCAGAGCGGCGTGAAGTGCATCTGTGACGGCCACCCAGATCTTTCCCACCTTCCCCCCAGCCTCCCCGAGATCTGGTGCACAGAAAGAAAGCCAAATGGACGTGGCTCGCGGGCGGTGCTCCATTACTGTTAAGTCGGGCCTGCCCCCCTCCAGGAGGAATGTTCAAAATTAGGCAAAACATAGTCTGGGGACTCCTTTTTTTTGTTTTTGACTATTTGGGGGTGTTTCTTTTGGAATCTGCGGATTTTTTCGCCCAACTCTGCCTGTAGGGGGACACGCCCGACCGAACACCACTGCGAGCACCGTGCTGTGTGCTGCAGCCGGGGAGGCACGGGGGGAGGGCAGGTCGACCCGGCGGCCCCCCGGAGCACCGCGCGGAGCTCGCCCGTCGGGGTGATCTGTACACTGCTGCCCCCCCCAGCCACGCGGTGCGGTCAGGAGGAGGAGGAGGAGGAGGAGGAGGAGGAGGAGGAGGAGGAGGAGGAGGAGGAGGAGGAGGAGGAGGTGGAGGACCAGAGTAAACTCAAGACGCGCCAACGATGTTATATGACATGGCCAATCCCTGCAAGTGTCCTCTCCCTGGGGCCCTACATTTTTTGTTGTCCATTGCAGGAAGTGGCCCGATGGTGGAAGATGCAGTCTGAGAAGCATTCATCGTGCCAACACGGAAGTCCTTTCACGTCAAGGGTCAATGTGGCTGTTGCGATGCGTCCTGACAGTTTTGAATCGTGCCGGAACTCTGTTCTTGGGACTTCAACCATACGACCCCTTGACACCGTTGCAAATTTTCAAGGCGAATGTGCGCGGCGCCAAGGCGAGAGCAGCATTTTGAAAAGGAACCGCCCTCCATCCCTGAAGCTGCTGCAATCAGTTCAAACGAATGTGCGCGGCGCGAAGGCGAGAACCATATTTGGAAAACAAGCCCCTCCATCCTTGAAGCTGCTGCAGTTTCTCAAGACGACTGTGCGCGGCGCCAGAGGCGAGAACCACGTCTCGAAGAGGGCCCGCCCTCCATCAGGGGAGGGCAAACCACCCCGACCCCGACAGTTGGCGTTTACGACCGTGCGCGGCGCCAGAGGCGAGAGCCACATCTCGAAGAGGGCCCGCCCTCTCCGCCCGCGGAGCTGCCGCAATGCTTCGGGGCGACTGTGCGCGGCGCTGAGGCGCTGACCACATCTCGAAGACGGCCCGCCCTCCGCCCTTGGAGCTGCTGCAATTTTTCAGCAGGAGGGAGAAAGAACACTCAGACACAATTCATCCTCCATTCCCAAGAAGGCATGGGAAAATATGGGAAGTGGGGGTGAAGACAAAAAAGCCAGAAAATATGGGAAGATATGGGGAATCGTGTTATTTGTGTGTATTTATTTGTGCGTCCCAGGGCCCCTTCATCTCAGCACGACTGTGCGCGGCGCTGACCACATTTCGAAGAGGGCCCGCCTTCTCCGCCCGCGGAGCTGCTGCAATGCTTCGGGACGCCGGTGCGCGGCGCCGAGGCGCTGATCACATCATCTCGAAGACGGCCCGCTCCCTGCGCTCGTGGAGCTGCCGCACTTCTTCGGCACGGCGGTGCGCGGCGCCGAGACGAGAGCCACATCTCTGAAGGGGGCCCAGGACACACACACACACATAGATACACACAAATAAAGCTATCCCCCATACTTTCCCATTTTTCTGGGCTTTTGTCTTCCCCGCCCCCTTCCCATACTCTCCCACGTTCTCCTGGGAATCGACGACTCATTGTGTCTGCGTGTTTTTCCCCACATCCAAAGTGGGGTTCTTGTTTTCTCTGCACACCCCGCGCAGGAACACTCACCCCACCCCCTCTCCTCTTCTGCCTCATCATGCGGATGAGAATTCCGTCGTCACTTTGTTTTTCCCCACATCCAAAGTGGGGTTCTTGTTTTCTCTGCACACCCCCGCGCAGGAGAGAGATCTCACTCACCCCCTCTTCTCCTCGCACTCATTCACACACACATCATCATCACTCGCACTCTCTCACACGCTCACGAACATCATCGTCATCATCGGTATCGGCATCATCCTCATTCAAACATCATCATCGCCACCACCACCCACAATCAATCATCATCCTCTTCACCACTCATCTTCACCACCACTCATCATCCTCATCCTCATCATCGTTGAGTAAAGTGTGAGGAAGTCTCAGGCGGGAGCCCCCTCCCTATGGGGCCCGCAGATCATGTTGGTAATCCGAGCGGGTCATCGGAACCCTGTAACTGTCGTCACTTTTGGGCTCCCCAGGCCTGAAAATGGAGGAAGTCTCAGGCGGGAGCCTCGTCTGTGAGTGAATTGGGAGGAAGTCTCAGGCGGGAGCTCCCTCCCTATGGGGCCCGCAGATCATGTTGGTAATCCGAGCGGGTCATCGGAACCCTGTAACTGTCGTCACTTTTGGGCTCCTCAAGCCTGAATATGGAGGAAGTCTCAGGCGGGAGCCTCGTCTGTGAGTGAATTCTGAGGAAGGCTCAAGCGGGAGCCCCCTCCCTATGGGGCCCGCAGATCATGTTGGTAATCCGAGCGGGTCATCGGAACCCTGTAACTGTCGTCACTTTTGGGCTCGTCAAGCCTGAATTTGGAGGAAGTCTCTGGCGGGAGCCTCGTCTTTGAGTGAATTGTGAAGAAGTCTCAGGCGGGAGCCCCCTCCCTATGGGGCCCGCAGATCATGTTGGTAATCCGAGCGGGTCATCGGAACCCTGTAACTGTCGTCACTTTTGGGCTCCTCAAGCCTGAATATGGAGGAAGTCTCAGGCGGGAGCCTCGTCTGT